TATGAAACTTTACAACCAATTAAAACATTTCACTGCATTTATGCAACTGTAATTTAAACATACCAATAATTTATAGTTCTTCCAAATTATGAATCGAATATAATTTAAACATAATGTACGCAAAAAGCTCCTCTGTTTCCAGGAAAACTCCCTGGCATTTCCTGGACTACTTAAATTCCCTGAGTTTTCCCGGTTTTCCATAAAATATTTTATAACATAATAGTACCAATTTTCGATTAAACTAAACTGCTTTAATCTTCTTAATAATCACGCAATGCTTAAAATACGATAAGTTTAAAATAAATACGCCTTTGAAAAAAATAACAAATATTTCTCAAATACAGCAATATGCCGACTACCAGTGGACGTTGGTCCTTGCGATGGCGGTTATAAACAATATTACTTTGATGACGCAAGGGGTGAATGTGTACCTTTCATTTACGGTGGTTGTGGTGGAAACTTCAACAACTTTAAAACTTTCCAAGCATGCGTAGAATTTTGTAGAGAGTTCATGGCACCAACTGAACCTCCTAGTAAGTTTGATGGGCTTATAATATGAGGGCGGTTCGAATACGAAAAAAATCCGACAGAGTCAGAATTAACATTTAGTTTTCAAAATGCTGAACTATTTTTTTAAAAGGTTTTAACATACGATGATGATAAACGACTTTGGAATAGTTTGGTAGAACAAAGTGTAACTATAGACAAAAAATATGTTACTATACTTATTGCATTTTTTTTTCTATTCGACTGCTCCTCGTACAGTTCATGCACAAAATTAACATTTTTTACAAAATAATTTGTTTAGTTATCCACAAACACTTAAAAGTTTTAGGTATACTAGGATGCTAACCCAAATAATATTTTACAAGTTATTGCAATAAATTTCTTAAAAATATAAATTAAACTAAACAAATTATTTCAATGCAAATTTTTTCAAGCTTCCTATAATAGGCTTTTATAATTGCACTTGCATTTTTTTTTTAAACGCAATCTGCACATTGGTAGTTCATTTTTTGCTTTTTTCTTAATGCATGTCCTTAAAACTTTTACTGGTAATGAAACATGACTGCAAAACCATATAAACATTTGTAAAAGAAATATTTGTACATAAATAAAAATTTTCAGAGGTTTTAAATTAGGTACGTACTAATACCTACAACTTTTTATCATTTTTTTTTAATAAATCAAAATCAAAATAATGTTTAATCCAATTGTAATTAATAGCAAATGTCAATGTGGGACAACCCCAACCCCAACCCCCCAACGACTGTCAAAGATTTTCGGACGAATGCTCGAGTCTGTTGTGCGAGTATGGATGGGAAGAGTTCGTGGACGAAGAGACTGCTTGCCGCAGGTGTAGATGTCATGACCCCTGCAGGGACGTACAGTGTGAAGAGGGCACCAGGTGTGCCGTGGACCTCAACGTGAACAGAACCGTAGAAGACGACAGAAACTTTATTCCCACTTGTAGACCAGGTACCACTTATAATGAATGATTCTCTGTTGTTTTTGTAAAATTTTTTTTTTTAATTATTCCTAGTGAATAAGGAAGGAACATGTCCACAATTGAGTGGAGAAGGCGCCAGGTGCGATCAGGAATGTAGGGACGACGCGGATTGCTCGGTAGACCTGAAGTGTTGCTCAACAGGGTGTGGAACCTCCTGTCTGGCACCCCACTCCCCAGGCTTCGAAGTTCCTGCTGAATTGGTCACCACCGGTTACAGCAACTTACCAGCTTACACCCAATCACCGATCCAGGCAGGATGTATGTCCCATTTTAGAATTTGTCTCTGTACCTCTGTTAATCCCCCTTTATAGGTCTTGAAGCGACGACTTCCTGTAACTATTCTAATTTTCTGTTCTGTAGATTATCCCCCGGTTATAGAAGAAGAAACCTTCGAACCAGAAGTAACGGCTGGCGAGGGTGATTATGCTACTCTTAAATGCTCGGTTAGGGGAAACCCAAATCCGGACATCACTTGGAAGAAAGGAAATCTTCTCGTAAGTATTGAGGGGCTGGATGATACCGGACATCTCTAATATTTGTTGTTGATCAACTATAGATTGATGGATCACAACCTCGCTTCCGCATTTTACTGGATGGGGTACTTCAAATTATCACGCTTCACAAAACTGACTCTGGTGTATACCTCTGCATCGCAAAGAATAATATGGGGGAGGTACAGCGAGAAATTAAACTTGACGTCACAGGTATTTATTTCTCATCAAATTTCTTTTTCTAAATCGGTAACAATAGTGCAATTAACATACATTGTAAATAATTAGATTAACTACAAAACAGTAGAGTTGATGTTCTGCTTTCTATACGGATAATAATGTTTACATTCTCTTCCGTAGAAAATCCTTTCTTTTTGATTTCTTACTTATTGTTTGACACGAAATTCTTTCTTTTTCCTTTTTTTATCTTGAATTATTCTTTGGATTCTTAAGCCTTATAATGTATTATTATTATCTATGCCAAACATTCTCAAAATTACACCGACATGTCACATAAGGGGGCAAGCGGAAGTTCCATAAGAAAAGCATTAGAAGATGAGGGCTTTGACCTGTTCTTTACCGATATGGGTACATTTCACACGTATTGGATCATCACCTCCATTAAAAATTTAAGAAGTATACAATAGAAATTTACATTGGTTTTCTTTTGTATGGGATTCTGAACAATTTCTTCTCATGACTTCTTTTGATTCTATTCGACATCGACACCGCAAATACGAATAACTAACGTCGTTGCACGCACCAAGACCATACAAGTGCAGTAAACTGATCGACCCATCGCAATCTCTTCCCTATTCGGGTCGGATGGTGAACGCCAAGCCTGCAAATTTTCGGCGGACATCACTGTTGTCTTGGCAAATATCTGTCATATCTAACATCGCAGATGTCTAATGTTTAGATCCTAGTTTAGCATTCGAGAGAACATCGACCATCTATTTTCCTTAGTTCATATTTTTCTGTTGTTCCCTTGCATACTGCCTGTTACTTTCCACCCTACCAACCACATTGTACCGCAATGTAGATTGATGAAACACAAAAAACTGCTTTTAGTTTTGTTAAATTTTATTGCTGTAGATTAATTCTTAAAAGTTTCTGTAGTCACTAACACTAACAAAACTAACAGATGGTGTAGCTCATCCGACGTCCATAATAAACGATGAGAAGTCGGACGTGGTGGTGGCATTAGGGTCAAAAGCGGTCCTCAATTGTTACGCTATCGGTTACCCTATTCCCTTCGTGACCTGGTGGAAAGACAATAACCTGGTTCCTATGCACACGAACGAATTCGCTGGCGGTACCGGCGACTTCTCCTTACTCATACAATCAGTACAACTCTCAAACCTGGGGGTGTACACGTGCCAAGCCTACAACGGTATAGGCAAAGCAACCAGCTGGGCGGTAACTGTCCAAGCATTAGGGCCCGTTTACAGTACTAGACCAGAAGACGAACAATACATGAAATATGTCATTCCGGCACCAGAACCATCGACTACCACCGAAAGACCTCGATTTCAAAGACCAGTTTATTATCCCAGGCCCATACCTACACCTGAACCATACATCCCGCCACCTTATGAGGAACCCTCTCCTGATATAACCGGCAATGACATAGCACCCCAACTTCCACCTGTTATGGAACCTTCTCAAGGATACACGGGTAATTAACAAAAAGCATGAAGTAACGCTTTTTAGCTCTTTCTGTGTAGTGTAAATTTTGCTTATGTAGCCTTAAATATTTAGTTGTGAATGTTTTGGTATACATTATGGTTGAAACATGTAAACTATTGATTAACATTAACATTTGTTGAAAGCAAAACCAAAATTAAATGAAATTTTTGCCTCTTCGTAATTAATAGAATTTATATTTAGTGCCTGTAAGGACTAACGTCACATCCGAAAAACAACATTTCCCGTTAGGAAGTGATGTTACCCTAAATTGCAACGTGGAAGGTTACCCTGTTCCGCAAGTACAATGGTACAAAGATGGTCAGCCCATTCAGCAAACGGACAAACTTTATATTTCCGGTAAGTAATTCAAAATTTTTAAAACACTGTGCACATATACGTTTCCGGTAGGTACATATACAGTGGGGATCTAAATGTACATTCCCCAAAAATTAATGGGTCAAAAGGATTCAAAAGGGAGGGAAAGGGAGAGATAGTGAAATAAAGATGGTATAAAACCATTTTTAAAAAAACTTTTCAAACCCCTTAATCTCTTAATCTAAACCATAAATACCAACATAAGATCATAATCTAGACTTTTAAAACTTTTGTAAACGTAACCCCATAACCAGGAGCACAGTAGTCAATGCTATTAGATTAATTAATATGTATATAAATTACCACTGCGACATAAATTTCTTTATCACGTTGAATAGCAACCCCCTCCCACCGGATAGTAGTCGTTAAAAAACTTACGTTATAGAGTCATGGGGATTAAGAAGTTGAAAGTGGTAGGTATTTATGGTTTAAGTCAAGGGGATAAAGAATTCAAAATACTATAGGTTGTAGGGTTGCGAGGTTTAAATTACGTGGAATAGCTTTCCCCCTCCCGGATTATGGTGGTTAAAAAGCTTACGCTATAGGATCATGGGGATTAACAAGTTTATTAAGGTGATAGGTATTTATGGTTTAGGTCAAGGGGTTAAAGAANGTAAATTAATATGTAGTAAAAAGTTTGTGCAATGAAATCATGTATATAAGTTTAAATTTTAAGGTATTTACAATCCAAGAAGTTTTGTAAACTGCTACATTTGCGATTGTTAAAATAAAATTTTGTATAGTGCATACTTTTTATTTTCGTAGTAGGTAGGTAGTTACCTATTATAGTTTAATTTATTGTATTTGCCAAGCTCATATGTATATCCCTCAACTTTTAGCGATTGTTTTGGTAAAGCTCCTGCATCGTAGCTTTCTCGAAAACAACGTTTTTTATGCATGAAAACATCAGAGTTGGGGAGATGGTTTAAAGAATTATTTTTTGTAAATGAAAAGTTTGATATTATATTAAGGTTGGATTCGGTTAGTTAGTGTGATAAAGAAATTAACGTGACCCAACCCTATACTAGCTTACCCTACTTGAAAAACTAACAAAAAATTCACAAAAATGAAATTAAACACTTTCCCCTTATTTTTTTTGTGTATCTCTTTCATAATTCAATCGTTTTGGGCCATTTCCAACAAAAAATAGGTATGTTTTCGTAAATGTAATAATGCAGAATATTTACCGAACAAAATATTAAACATTAGACAAATTCGCCATTTTCCCAGCAAACGGCATCCATTTCAACAAGCACCTACATATGTGCCTGAATATCTACATTATTATACAAATTATGCGAATTGATTTTCAACAGTTTCATCAGAACTCAATTAAATAACTATCTTATAAGAGTAATAAAGCAAAAATTTACATCACAACCAAATGAATCGATAGCTATTAACAGTATTTAAGTACAAACACATACCGGCTCTTTGGCATCACATGGCTTGCTTTCCGCGCTTTTGACTGCATTTTGGCAACGCTAAAGTTATTTAAAAGTCACGCACTTATTCCTACTTTAAGTACTTTAAACACGAGTATTTATGATGTCATAGAAACTACACAATAAATAAAAACGGTACCCCGTACACGTGCACGCCAAGAAATACTATTCGAATCTGCTACGATAAATGCTGCTCACTTTTTTATGCAATTTTTAGTTAGATAAATGGCACTTGTAGTAGGTACCACATGAAGGACATAAATTCACTAAATCAGATAATCACAGTTTAAATCAGACTAAATAGTAGCGCCCCAAGTGGCCGTTGCTACAAACTATCTATAATTTATAAGCGATCTAATAAAAGTACATTCTCATAAAACACCCTGTACATATTACAATTATGCATATCTAAGTATGCTTTACTCGTTTTATTTGCATATAATATAAAAGTAATTGTAAAAAATAGATATTCTTTAAGCTAAACTCCTAGCAATTATAGGTACTTAATAAAATAAATTAGTTCATAAAAATTAACAAAGAATTAACTACATTTATTGGATATTGAAAAGCAATTCTAATGTTTATTATATTAATCAGTCCATATAAAGTAATTTTAAAATTTTTTCCTCAATCTATTTCGATCCACTGCATATAGGAACAAAGTTCAAAGTAGTTCAAAAGTCCAAAGTCCTTTCATCAGTCAATATTTTAATGTAGTAAACAATAGGGTATAAGTAATATTTTTTTGATTTTTATAATCCTATTGATCTTTTATCGTTTTTATTAAGTAATTTTAAAGATGGCTCGTATATTAGTTGGAGTTAAGCGTGTAATAGACTATGCAGTAAAGGTAAACAATGAAATATTTGTCAAATTTGCATAGTGAGGTTATTATTCATTATATTTTTTTCAGATAAGAGTAAAGCCAGATAAAACGGGTGTAGTTACAGATGGGGTAAAACATTCTATGAACCCATTTGATGAAATTGCAGTGGAGGAGGCTGTTAGATTAAAAGAGAAAAAGATTGCTTCCGAAATAATTGCTGTATCTTGTGGTCCAGCTCAGTCTCAAGATGTCATTAGAACTGCTCTAGCGATGGGTGTAGATAAAGGGATCCATGTGGAGGTGTCTGGAAAAGAATATGAAACTTTACAACCAATTCATGTTTCTAAAATTTTAGCTAAAATTGCACAAAATGAAAAATGTGACATGGTTATACTTGGAAAGCAGGTTCTGATCACTGTTTAACAATTATACCTTATTTATAATAAAAATATTTTAGGCAATAGATGATGATGCTAATCAAACAGCTCAAATGACTGCTGCTGTATTAGATTGGCCACAAGCTGTTTTTGCTTCAAAGGTATAAAAGACCCATATGTAGCATTAGTTTTTTCAAAGGCTCCAACTCCTTTTTAGATTGAAAAGGGGGAAAATGAAATCACAGTTACAAGAGAAATTGATGGTGGATTAGAAACAATAAAATGTAAACTTCCAGCGGTAATTAGTGCAGATCTTAGATTAAATGAACCCAGATATGCAACACTACCAAATATTATGGTAATTTATTTCTTATTAAAAAGCATAAAATCGCCAAAATAATTTCTTCCTTAGAAAGCCAAAAAGAAGCCAATTACAAAAACCACTCCTAAAGACTTAGGGGTAGATGTAGCACCAAGAATTAAAATTGTAAGTGTCGAAGACCCTCCTGTACGGCAAGCTGGAGTTATTTTACCTGATGTGGATGCACTTGTGGCAAAACTGAAAGAAGGGGGACATGTGCCTTGAAACACTTTAGTATTTAAGTTAATGCAAATTTACAAACCTTTTTTTTTGAACATTTGATAAAAGAAGCTCAAAAAATATTTAAGAATGACTGTACATGGAAAAACTGATTATACTTTTTTTTATTAGAATCAATAAATAAATTTAAATATTTAACATTTACAACAGTCAATTCATTATTTGAAGCTAATTTGTACCTAAATAAATTGTAGGGCGCAGTTCATTTTCGCAAAAATAATGCATATTATTAAACAAGTGGTTTCTTTGGTGTGATAGGAATGTGATCATTTGTCCTGTTTAATTATTTTCTATAATAAGTATCAAGCCATTTAAAAAGCGAATGTTACTGATGCCACAGTTTCCAATCAAACCTTTGATTATTTGAGTGCATAATAGGTGGTAGAGGGGGCTCAACATGTTCCCAATTCTCGCCCTTATTTTCTACAACTGTCACACTACAATACGGCACTTTAGGCAATAATTTCGACATTTCGTTCGATGACCGAGGTTTTCCACCGATCAATTCTCTTGTACACACATCCAGAGTGGCTGCGTGCCCCACAAAGAACACGTCGCCCAGTGAGTGTGTCTCTAAAACCTTTTTTGTAACGAAGGAGCTTCTAGTATAAAAGCTTTCGCATGTTTCTCTCCTTTCCGCAAGTTCTTCCATAGGAACAAATGGTTTGTATTCCACATCGATATTATAACCGAAATTGATCAATTCATTGGGTGTTAACCATTCTGGTAATCCTTCAGGATACCAGACAAGCCACTCAAACAATCCGGGTTCAATTTTCATTTTAATATCCTCTCTACCAAGGCCCCTTAGAACTTCAGCACACGTCTGCACGCACCTAAAGGACGGAGAGCAATATACATGATGTATATTAGAATCAGAGTCTCTAAGGGCTTCCCCAACTAGCCTAGCCTGATAAAGCCCAATCTGCGTCAAAGGCGAGTCCTTTTTGTAGGCTGTAGGGCCAGTTTTTCGTTCAGGAAGAACCACGGGCATATTCAAATCTTTTCGAATATATCTCCCTTCTTCGTCAAAACAATAGGGTATCCAAGTGCCGAATGTAAAATCCACGCGCTCACCATGACGCATTACAAACAATCTTCTTCGAGTACTTATATCTAATATCTGGACCTACAAAGACTCCATTAATAGTTAATTACTTGATTGTATGCTGTGTTTAGCTTACTTCGTCTTTAAAACACTCAACGTCCTTATTTTCTATTGCTTCGGATTCGGTTTGTTCAGCTGTTTCTAGATTTTCTGGTTCGATCGGACTACTTGTAATGTTTAATTCAGGTGAGTTACTTTTTGGGAGTGCAGCATCGACTGCATCCCCATTTGAAATGTTTTTATCAAGAGATTTAAAAGTCTGCATATCAGAAGAAGATTTCACTTGGTATGATTCAGATAAACTTTGTTTTAAAGGAGGATGGTGTTTCTGAGATTCCTTTTGACTAGCAGATCTACCACCAATTGTATTAGCTGAATTCTCTACAAGAAGCACAGAAATTATGGCTAGAAACAAAATGACTTGCGAAACTTAAAATTGATAAGTGTTATCTTATCTTCACAGAATAGAGACTGTGATAATCAAATAAATGAAGAAAGAGAGACACCCAAATTACCACAATAAACTTTATCAAGTGGTATTTATTTTGTCTAATTTACCTGAAGGATTATTAAGTGATACTTTTCGATGAAGCGTCCAAGCGTCAGATTCTGCTGTCCTTTCGGTATAACTTACAGGTAAAAGTCCAGTACACCCTGTTAACCAAGATGTGCCTTCAACCCAACCATCTGGAGAATTTGCAACAGCTTCCGCACTTAAATATACATAATCGCCCGTCCTTAACTCCAACTCATCACATTCAGCATGAGTGTAGGGATGTACGACCTTAAAAACATCCGTAGTTTACACTTTACACATCTTAATACAATAATAAATAACTCCAGTAATTTAAACTAATTTAAAAGAGATAAATGCGTAATAAAAGCTATACTAATAATGATAAAGAAATGGAAACAAACCTTGTGAACTTGCTTTCCATTTACTCTTGGATCTCTTGAATACAAACGAAGTTCCCAACCAGATGATAATGTTGGATCTAATGTATCAACTAATGCCTTTAACTGGGAATATTGTGTGTTTGGAAATTGATATGCCAAAGTTAAATGCAACGATTTAACATGTGGTTCTAAGCTTATTGCTAAAAATATTACTCATAATTGGTTTTCTTTTGTAACATATTTTAACAAAAAAACAACACTGACAACACGCACAAAACTATTTTCTATATTAATATACTGGTACTGGGAATATGTAGAAAAAGTACCCTATTCTAAACAACTGTTTAAGGAGGAATTGAAGCTAATTACACAGCGCCATATTTTGTAAAATTTTCATAATACTTTAGAGACAATTTTAATTGAAAAATACATCCCACTATTTTTATTAATGTTAGTAAATAATAAAATTGTGCTAGCTTTATCAAAAACAACATATATGTAAGATACTTTTAATATTGTATGTTAGATATATTTAATTAAAATGCTGAACAAAACTAAACTATATATAGATATTTTAAACATAGCTAATTTTTCAATTCTTCCTTAATAAATGTTAGTAACGACCAACCAAAAGAATTAAACAATAAATCAATTAGAAAGCATAAAGCAAAACCTTACATCTACTACCCCTTGGAATGCAACGTGCTGTGGTGGTTGTACACCAAGGAAAACAGGCTGTTAACGCATCAAATTGTTCATAAGTGTCACTAATAACTGCAAGGACAGACAACCTGAGGTTAAACTAATAGAAATACCCATTCTTTTAATTAAGAAGAAATAATTAAATCTACAATATACTGATGTACTATTGTTTTAGAGAAAATGTATTTGAAGCAAAAATCATATAGCAAATGGAAGACTGAAACTTACTTGCATTTGAAACTTCCTTTACATATTGCATTGCTATACGCTTCAAATAATCTGCATGGTCTTCAGCAACAAAAAAGCCCATAAAATTTGGAGAAGCATAAGTTTCAAGTTTTAGTGGTTCGTTCAATATTGCCCCCTGCCTTTCCATTACTGATTTAAGTGACATAGATAAATGTGGTGCATCAGCATCTGGTGCCTAAAAGTTTAAAAATCAGCAGATTTAACGTAATATAATTTGTGAAAATCTTACCTTAAAAAAAGATACTAAGGTAATATGTGGTGTAAAATTGTGGGCTCCATTCCATCCACAAATTTCTAACGATTTCTCCCAGAAGTTCTGAAGCTGTTCTAAAAACTCACCAAGTGGGCAAGCATATAATATGTATTCTCTTGGAGAAGTATCATCAAGAAGGGGATCATTAACATGTGCTAAAAGCCAGTCTGAGGCTAATTGAACTCCTCTATTTCCTGTAGCTGCTAATGCTTTTTCTCTACAAGGATACAATATTAAAGAATACTAAAACGTAATTAATTTAAAACTTACGCTCTGTGCTTCGGAAACCCCATTTGAAGTAGAATTTGTAGAGGGGTCAAATGTTGTTTGGAAATTTTCGTGGGTGTAGGATTTCTTCTCGGTGGCAATGTGGCCATGGTAATTAATTTATAATATAAAATGTATGCACAAAATAGCGAAACTATTTTTTATAATCAAACCTACAATTTTTTGACATTTAAATTATTCGAAATGTAAATAATAATATTTCAAATTTGATTTAATGACATTTAGAGAAGGAAGTGTATCATGCACCGCATCACTTTCCATTATTAAATATTTTTAAGTAAATATTTAGACTTTGGTTTTTAGCATGTTTTGGTACGTAGAAGATGAACCAAGGAAAACTAACAATTTATTTAAAATAAATATGTATCTTGAATATCATTTGCGTATATTATTATCTATTTCTATACTAAAAATGGTACTGTTTTCCTCATTCTGTGGTTCTAGTTGTTAATTAAAAGCTTATCTATGATTAAAAACATAAGGTACATAACCTAAAAGTTTGAGGACTCTTGTCAGTATATATAAATGTAAATTCGTAAGATTATATTTTAATTTTGTAATAAAAAAGTGTTGTTTTTAATGGCCGGTGTGTTGTTCGAGGATATTTTTAATGTCAAGGATATTGATCCAGAGGGAAAGAAATTTGACAGAGGTTAGTGTTCTTATTTATTAAACCGGCCTTTTTTAAGGTTAGAAGTGGCAAAAAAGTAATTTTAAAATGCCTTTTACGATAATATTTAATATTAAATAACGCTTCAGATGCCTTAGTAACATATATACTTTTGAGGCGCTTTTAAGAGCTCTTTTTATAACTCAGTATTATCATTTATTGTTCTAAATACTGTCACATATCTGCAAATTTGTAGGTGATTCAACTAGTATTTATATTGGTATAAAAATATTTACAATATAATAAGTATTTAAATCGAATACAATTTGTAATTATGTGGGTATTACACAAACTTTGTGCTTATAAAGGCTGTTATTATGTATAAGGCTTTGTGCAAGATTTTTTAATAATATACTTAAAAAGGGGGGTAGCTTTTACACAAACACTAAAAGTTAAATGTTACAATTATTGTCAAGTAGGTACTGACGGGCCCCAATATAATTACAGATATCTAATACCTTAATACACATTTTATAGCCAGTTCAGGTCGACAAACAGGTGTACTACCTACATATTTTGAGAAAATAGTCTTTCATTTAACTTTTATTTATTTACATAGGTAGATAATAGAACTGTATTTCTAAACTATGAATGATAATGAAACAAATTGGACGCATGTGCGAGGTCTAGGGAGATCGATCGATCGAGCTGTAACATGTAACGGTCAAGGTCACTGGGTTTAGGTCATCCCACCAACAACTATTCCGAACTCGTGTAAAATGTAAAATGCATTTACCCTTTTCGTATGAAGTTTAATTCTTCTTTCTTTAACACACCAGGGTAGACATAATAACGATAACGTTTCTATATATGTGCCTATAAATTTACTATCTACCTACCTATTAATACCTAGGTAGATTCCTGTACCTGTTACATAATTTAGCAGATTTAAAAGTTAAATTACCTAGGTACTTAAGCGTTTTATTATGTACAATATAATAATTGTGTAAACAGTGAGTAATGTTAAGTTAAAATCAATTATTCGATTGATACCTAGATAAGTTGATAAGTCTTATCTATGCAATTTTTCTACAATAGGTACCTAAAACTTTGAAAGTTCAATAACTAGATACCTATGTAAAATTGATTAATAGCAATTGACAATTAAAATTAAATCAAAGTAGCATTTTAACGTACATATAGCCGTCCTTTTTATCCATCGGGCATGTGCGTATATTATATTGAATTATGTATTGCGCAATAGGCGGCTATGGATTTTCGCACACTAGCGAAACAGTTGATCATAACAAGCAAAACAGTGCAGTGCTAGAGACTGGAGACAAGTAGAACATTGGAACAAAAGATATTGGTGAGAGAGAGAACTAGTGTGAGAACAGGGACGACAAAAATTGCGCATTCGGTACGTGGGGCCCCCTAATTGCATTTTTCGTACGGTTTGTTTCTTGTTAAATCGCTGTTCTATACTGGTTAAAGTTTTCCAAAAATTTTTGCTAACATTGTGATGGGGTGAATAATACACAATAGTCCCCACGTACGCCCACGTGAGTTTTGTGTTTCGTTTTGGTGATTACGGAATTTAATTTTCCATTAAGTACCTGCATAGTAAAAATAAAAAAAAAACCGAAAATGTTCATATACGTATTATACAATCATCATGTCATACAACGCGGTGGAATGAAGTTTATTGTGTCCCAATAATGAAGCATCTGTCAGATGGGGTTGAACAAAGACTCAGAAATGTCATTTTCAAGGGCAAGGTTAGTGTTTACTTTTACATCTGTGTTCGTATATACAGGTAAGGCAAAACGGTCACCGACCATAGAAAATTACACATTTCTTTGTCGGCATTTTTTCTTAGTAGGCGTGTTTTACACTAGAAAAAATGCTTAATTTGGTGAACTTGTTGATTTTTTTTAACTACCTCTGTAAAAATATCAACTGTTTCTTTGAACATTGTCCTAAACTACCCAAACTTTCAAAATCTATTGAAAAAGCGTATCATCCCTTAAAAACTTCAATTACATTCTTGGACGTAGCAATCATCATCGTAGGATCATCAGTTCTAATATTGGTTGAACACGCACCTCCACTCTTTCCTATCCCGAGCTTAAACTTCGCATATCCCTAAGACTAGAACATCCCACATCCCTAACTATTTCTGAATAGTTATCTGATCTATGTCTACCTCCACTCCACTTAACTCCTTTTTCTAATATGTCTCTAACTAGGACATAACTATATTACTTTGTAATTTATATGAAAAGATGGCTAAAGGTCATTTTTTTTAATTTTTCTATAACATGTATTTTTTAAAAGACGATGTCTCCCTTTAATGATTGCATAAGTATAATAAAATTATCCCTATGTTCAGTTAATATTTCCCCATTAGTGTATATGTATTTAATATAATAATGATTAACGTATACAGGTAAGGCAAAACGATCACCAAACAGAAATTACACATTTCTTTGTCGGCACGTTTCTTTTAATGGCCCAAGAGCGAAAATGCATAATTTGGTGACTACGTGCCTGGAATATATTTTTTCAACCGTGCTTCTATCCCTTGACGTTTCCATAAAACTCCTAAACTAATAGAACTCTCAAAATCTTTTTGCTCTAATCACAAAAATAAAAAGAATAGAAAGCCGTCAAAATTAATTATATAAATCTTTAAACTATTTTATATATATCGAGTTNACACATAATATTGTATAAAAGCTAAAAAAATTAAAAAAAAAACACATTTTGCATATCCTCATTTTTCCTTTATTTTTTTCATTGTTAAAACTAGAGAAATTTCTGATCACTACCTTATTAAAAGTACTGAAGACTATATTAAGGGAAAACCTAATGCCATATAAACTGGAAGACACGTATTTTTAGAACATTTTATTACCATAAACAACAGTTAAAAATTTCTCTTGCTAATCATTTACCTACACAAACGTAACTACATACTAGCTACTGTCTACATATGTAGGAAACATTCTGTGATCCTGATATAATCATCGTAGGTATATACCTTTACCGTTTTTATTATTCACGATGTGAACAAGAAGGGCAGTATTGGTACCTAACCGTACATAATATATACATTCAATAAAGTAGGTAAGAATACACATTAGATAGAGAATGGGCGCGGCCTGTGTCCCCTTATCGTCCAATGAGGTTCATTCTTGTGTATATAATGCCGGACTAACTCGCCGACAGCATGGCGTTACTTCTTTCATTCGGCAACAACACTGTTGTGTATATTAAACAGACACACACAGCGGGCCACGTGAATTATTGTAAACACATTTAATTGTGGTACATTATACAGGTGAGGCGAAACGGCCACCCGAACGCGGAAACTACACATTTCTTAATAATTTGGCGAACGTGTTTTGGAGTCAACCACGTCTCAAGTACATATTGTATAAAACATAACAAAGTTTATCTTTGGAAATTAATTTCAGTATGTTATGTGTTCGCAGAATTACTTAAATTCTGAAACAAGTGAATTATCAACAATGTGGAAATGCTAAATTGTATCAAAACTATTTGAATACAATATTGTATGTATTAGAAATCTATAAAAGTGTAAAATGTATATAAGTACTATGCGAGATATTCAAATATGCCCCCGTAGACCGCGCGCCGCTGGGTTTCGCAGAGGCCGACCGCCTGAAGATTAAAATAAATTAATTCCTAAAATTAAATTATTAGATATATGCTCCTACTGCATTTCCGCATTTCCCTATAAAACTATAAAACTAGAACATCCCACATCCTTAACTATTTGCTAACAGTAATCTAATCTAGGTCTACCTCTGCTCCCCTTAACTCCTGTTTCTGCTTTCAATATGTCTCTAACTAGCCCTTCATGCCTTAGGTCTATTTCTTATTGACTTCTATAGCACCTTCTGTTCTCCTATTCTTTCTAATACCTTCTCATTTCTAACCTTCGCTATATCCTCAGTATCCTCATCGCGGCGCGGTAGCGTCAACGTTTCACACCCGTACAGAGCCGTGCTCCAGATGACACACCTTTAACAATTGTTTTTGAATTTCTAAATTAACTATTCGTGAACATACAAGTGACAAAATTTATTCCTACTTAGGAACATAGCATTTTAGCATAGAACAATTAGTTCATGTTTTGGGGTGTCGCCGCATTTTCCGCGGGGGTGAATGTTGGTTTATCTCATGGTATCACATATTCTCAGGGACACAGTAAATCTAAGTTCTTTATTCTAAATTTAGTTTTATCAGTCTTTTATACAAGTCTTCGTGATTATTTTTGAAAAGGCACAAGCCGCCACTACTTAATTTAGATTTTTCTTTCTTCCTTTAGTGAGCCGACTTCACTGTGAAAGTGAATCTTTCAAAATGGATCTCATTTTGGATATAAATTCTTGGCTGTACCCCATGGAGTTGGGTGAGTTTTTCAAAAAAGTTAAAATTCTAGATAATATATTAAGTATTACTTACATACTATTACTTAGTAGTTCATTACATAGGTACAAATTGCCTACTTGGCGTTTGAAAAAAATTTTTTTTAGAGATTTCTGTTAAATGTAGTTTAGATACCTGTTATGTGTAGATATAAGAAAATAAATGTTTTTACCTTTTAACTTGTTACTATGGTTAAAATTCCTGTCCCGTAATACTTCCGGTTTATTAGTGCTATCAGAAAATGCAAAATGTTATTTTTAAATTGTTTTAAAATATAATTAAATTCTGTATTATAATACTTATAGGTAGGTATAAGTACGATTATTATTTGGCATGTTTCTATTTATAGATTTTACGATATTAAATAATAAAAAAAAGTTAAATGCAGTTATTGCAAATAAACCATCCGGGTAACGACAATTTTAATTATAGTACCTACATATGTCTAATCAGTCTTGGACAGTGGCGTAACATATTGCTTATTGTTTTTACTGAGCTATCCATACCAACTTTCAGAGTGCAAAATAATTAAAACAAACTTCCTGAAACGTCAATGGGACGGTTAAACTCCCAAGGCTCCCCTATAGTTACACCACTGGTTTCGGGATCAGTTAATAAAAATGCTTCCGTACGGTCATGCTATCAAATGATATAAAAAGACATCGGTACCTATATAGGTACATTATTTGTATACAGGTAAGGCAAAAAGTGCACATTTTGATTGGGTAGAATATTATTTTTTCGACCACGTTTATCTGAAAACTGTCCAATATCACATTGTATTTTTCGAAAGACGATGCCGCCCTTTGAAGGATCCATGCAATAGAATAGCCCTGTGTACGGTCGCAGCACGCCGCTAGTGTATGTTGTTAACTAAACACGTTTCGAGATTGTTATTGTGCTTAGACGTATATACACACATAATATTGTATAAAAGCATCGAGTGCACCATGTGTGCGACTGTAGTAGATAGTGTTATTATTATTGCCATTCGCGATACTTCCTCGCGCGTCCGCGAAATTCACTCTTTTCCCTCTAACGTGCTCTCTCTCTCTCTCTTTCTTTTGGTATTTCATTTCCACTGTCAAGTTCATTGCCAAGGCCCTTGCTGTTTGCCGGTAGCCGATCCGATCACAACCGGCCGGTCTTGTTGCGTAGAAACGGGTGAGCGCGTGCGCGTCTGCATTGCGGCCACACGTTCTCTCTCTGTTCAACACGCGCTGCAAGGCAGGGCAGCGACAACGCAAGCAGGCCGATGAGCGAACCATCGTCGCAATAAGCGCGGCAGTGCAGCGCCTAGGCGACGCACATTAGCCTATCTTGGGCCTCCTTCACACGTAACCGGTACGTGTGTCGTAGTTCAGCGATGTTGTGTTGTGATTCGTTTGTTGTTATTATTGTTGCGCGTCGCCTTTTTGTTACTGGGCGAAAAAATTGCCAACTCGCTCTCCATGGATAACGCGACAATGTATTATGTTGCATGGTGGTGGTTTTGTTCCGTTGCAGCCTATGTTGTCATTGTTTCTTGATGTTGTTTCGTGACGTTGCGTAATTTCGGTTCCAGTTTTGCGATAGGTCTGCGCGAGCGCGCAGTAATGTTGAAATTATTAGTCGTCAAAAAAAAAAAAAAATCGGGAAATAACGACAAAACGGAGATAGTTATTTGTCGTACAAAATGTGATTTAAAGATAAGTGATTTCGCGGCAAAGACGGCGATGATATCGTTGACGAAGGCGCTTCGCGAAAATGACGACTGTCTTTGGACGACGAGCGCCTCAGGTTTTTGTCATCATAACATGTGGTACGTAACGTACAATGTAAATAATATTATACATATATATATATATATATGCGTAGATAGATAGCGATAGTTGTGACTGTATGTGTATACATTGCGGCACACATTCAAACAAATACATGGCCGTGCGCAAGGTGACCCTTAATTGCTTTTTTTAACTTTCGCCAAGGCCATTCCAATAAATCCGTTTAGGTGGTTCGGTACAGCAGCGCCTGGCAACAACGTATGTACATACATACATATGTATGTATGTGTGCTTTGTACTTTTGTTTATGTGTGTGTGTTTATGTACACAATGGAAACGTGTGTGGCTGTGGTTCTGCTCCGATGCACTTTTCGCGAATTTTGTCGGAACTTGTTCTCTTCGGGCGTCGCGTAACTCAAGTATGCGGACGCAGGCGGGCATCGTATCGGGCCATTATATTATCGTCCCGTTTGGCCAGTCGATTCACCCAAGTTGCTGGGATTTAATAATATTATACGAAAAGAAAACCACTCTTTTTTATTCACACCTCTTCATTTTTCTGCACGCTTATTAGGGCGTTTACTACTTAGATACGTCACTTCCGTATTCTCCTTTCTGGAATATAATTATTGATGATGATTATGTTCGGAAAGCAAAAAGTCTGTGTCTATTTATAGATCAACTATTACGTATTGTATTGATACAACAACAGCAGTAGGTATTTAATTCTGTTTTTTTTTTTAATTCTATCTATTTATTCTACACGGTGTTTATGTTCTTACGTGTTGTGTAGATTTATTAATAAAATAAAAAATATTGATTGGGTAACTATCGTCATTCACGGATGGGTATCTAATCCTTTCAGTTGTATCTGTTGCTGTTTACTAGGAACGTATAAACACTGGTTTTCTTCGTTCTGTGATAAGAGCATAAGTAAATAAAAACTGATTCGTGAGACATCTGCAAGTAAAATCTAATGTCTATTTTTGTGGTTTGCATTGATCTTGAGGGAGGAGCCTGACGTCATTGGCATTGGTCACATATCGGCCCAATGGTGCGTCGATTTATGTATCAGATGTGCGTTCCATATTGGTTGAAACGATAATGCCTGCAGCAGCTTCTAATTTTTACCTATTTAATTTCATTTGCTCCTAATAACTTGATGTGTGAATGAAGTTATACCGATTGAAGAAAGAAATCAATAATTTTGACAAAACCTTTATAATTTTAATAGAATATTTCTAGGACTTACTAAGTACAGTAACTGAAATCCTGATAATAAAAATAATATTAGATAATTATCTTTTTGATGGATGTAGAAATAATAATATATGCAATAAATATAAGTGTTGATGAAAGCGGAAGTGTGTTTTTTTCCATCTGTATAAATTCCTTTAACCGATATCTCGTTTATCGGTATCTCTAGATTATATTTTTGTAGACATCCTTGAAAAAGGATTAAGGAAAATTATTTTTGTTCTTTTCTTATTAATTTCCGGGATACCTACTTGGGTATATAAAAGACCTGAATATTAACGTTTTAAAACGCCCATTTTGTTAGTTGTCCAACTTTAGCTTTACGATTAGTACGTTTCGTTAGGGGAAACGAACGAATGACAGTGTTTGTATATTCTACGCATAATCTACTTATCCTGGTGGGGATGAACAACGTTCCGCCTCATCGAAAAACAAAAAATGCTGACTATAAGCTTTAGTAACGATGTGATTCATTCTTGATTATCACCCTCGGAACAATCTGTCTTTTTTAAATGTTCATTCTTTATTGCAGTTCCAATTTTGCATCTCTACAAAAATACTTATGTAAATGCCTTCCTTTGTTTTATTTTCGGAAAGACTAATTGACTGATAATTGTCAGGAAAGGTTTTCGTGCGTTTATTAGGGTCTCAAAAAAGTTAAACATAAATTATACTTATTCACAAGTTGGCCTATTGTCGAGTATTGTAAAATGTAAATGTAAATTGCAACGAAAGATATAATGCAGTCGTATGGCTTAAATGCGTTTGTTGATGCCCTAATAATCCCAGGTAGTTATAATTGATTGGCAGGCGAATCTTTTTCTTGACAAATTAGTCTCAAGCCTGTATTTTAAAATTGTATTAAATGAACTAAGAATTGCACCGACCTAAGTAAATACGAAGTGGTAGGTAATCAAAATTGAAAAAAAAAACTGCTTCGGTTTTCAGATGATAAATAAGCACATCTAAACAATTCAAAAGCAGATTGGTATTAAAAGGAGAATTGATCGTGAGAGAAAACGCTATGTTGACGAATTTCTAGGCTCGCAGGGAGTAGTTGCTAAACATTTCCGGAAGTGGTCGATTTCGGCTACTACTGGTGATCGTCACTTTTAATCGGTCAAAATTACAAACGAGTGGTAACTGGGCCAAAGCCGCCCCAATTCAAACGGTGGTCGGCGACAGTAGCTAAATTTGCGACAGAAAACGAGTAGCTATCACTAGCTTCCAGTAGCGCGAACGGAGTACTTACCGCAGCTTGTGATCCGAATGAACCACTGCTGCTATCCCGTTTTGCACCGACACTACTACATACAACATACAGTCCTCAGCGCATAGTCACTTCTAGTGGCGAGTGGCAATCACAAGTGACCTAGTGTGTGAGCGATCTGAGTCTTCACGTCAAAAAAAAAGCAGGAAATCATGAATTCACCGGTTCACAAGTATGTACCTACCCTATAGTTCGTACTTGGCACCTTGTGACCTTGTCATCTCCTACAAAAGTACACCGATGGAAATGATCATTATATAGAAAATTAAAGAAATGATGATTTAAAATGAAATCAAACTCCATCTGTCACTTTTCGGGTTACCCTTAGTGGGTAATAATAATAGTAGCAACGGCGTGGTTCTTGTTGGCTGGTGATACGGCGTATAGCGTCCAATTGAGGGAAAGAGAGGGAGACAGCGAGAGATGAAGGAATTACGTCGGTGGGCAAATAGGGGCGGCAAGGGCAAGTGGACGAATGGAGATGTGTATTGATTTCTATCCTCATCAGCTGACTGACTAAAGCGCCGCATCGACAGCGGCGAGGCGCAAGGGCAAGCTGCGGCCTTGTACAACCACCACCGTCTTTCCTCCACGTACTTTTTATAGAAATTAGTCATTGGTATATACATTTTGTGATGAGAACTTTGAGTGATTGTAAATCATGGTAGGTGTATGGGTAGATACGTGCAAGTG